AGCACGAGGGGCAGTCGTTGCTCGGAGTACCCAAAGATAGTTTCATTGATTGGGTCATAGGGTACATCCCAATATTCCGTACACACCTTTGTGTTGTTGTCTACTCCTGAGCTGGCAGCTGGCCGAGGCTGCTTGGAGAACGGCTCTTCTCCAGGGCCCGGAGTTTCCCTAACGAGTGTGCCCGTCACTGATGCCGAAGAACTGGATGCATCCGTAGGAGGAGTTCGGGGTTTGTGCAGCTTCTTGTAGACCCCCAGCTTCCTCTTGAGCTGCTTCAGCTCCACCGACGTCTTCCCTGGGGAACGGGTAGTCGTTGTGGGCTGGTGTCGGGAGAGGACGTTGACTCCGTGGAAAGGTCGGCTTCTTTCCACACTCCTTAATTTTTTCCCCAAGTTGTCCGGTACCGGTATAATCTCCACAGCTGTCTGCTTCTTTTGGAGTCCCTCCCGAAATTTCTCCAAGGCTTTGGCTCCTCGAAAATCATAAGTTTTCATTAAAGCATCTTTGTAAGATAACTTTAATGAATTCTTATAATTTCTTGGGTCTTCAAGGAGTTTCCCTGTCTCGGCAGAGTCTTTTTTCGCGGAGTCGTATTTTTCCTCGGCGATTTTCCCTGGCGAAGACTGGTCGTGGGGTGGAGATTTTCCCCCATCATTTCCTCCTTCTCGCGTCGAATTAGCTTCGTCGAAGTTGATTTTCCCGGAACTCCGCGGCCGCTTTCGGATATTTTTATTTTCGCCAGCTAGATCCGCAATTACTGGCGACTCCCATTTTTTGGCTTCTGATTGGCTGACGGAATTTCGCCACTGTTGCGTGCCCGATACTCTGCGCGTGCGGTCTTCATTTTGCTGCAGTCGAAGATTCGATGACCCGGCACCCCGCAAAAATCACACGTGTAGTTGGTGTTTTTCGGACGTGGCCGCCCCTCGAATCTGTCGACTTCCATCGGGTCGGCGAACGTGGGGTGAGCCGAGCGGTCGCCCTGTCGCGTACTGCCGACGTGCGTCCGTCGTGTTCCGGCGTTGACCATGTCGAAGCGCTCCGCTGCCGAAACGACGTCACTGTAGCTCGCGTAGTTTGACGCTGCGACTTGTCGTTTGACTTCGGTCTTCAGCCCGGCGAGGTACGATTGTACTTTTTCCCCTTCGGTCAGGTCGGGAATGCGGTTATAAAATTCCTCCATCTGCTGCGTGTACTGCGCTACACTCCCGAACTGTCGGTGTCGATGAATTTTTTCCCGGGCAAGGAAACTCGAATTTATCGGTTCGAAGCGTTTCAGCAGGTCAGCGCGGAACTGCTGCCACGTGGCTTCACCGTGGATGAAAGTACTGTTGCCGCCAATCCACTCGAGTGCCGACCCTCGCATCAGTGTCGCCGCGAGTCGTACACGTTGACCGTCCCAGACTGGCGAGCTCCATCCGACGGCTGCGAAGTAGATCTCCATCCCGGCGATCCATCTGTTGGCGTCGGAGTTTCGATCGCTCGGATCGAACGGCTCAGGTGGGCGCGGTTTCGGAGCCTCGAGAAACTGCTGCGACTGTTGCGTCGTCGCCGTTGTCGTCTCGTGCTGCGCTCCGGCGAGTCGAGTTACTCGCTCGAGCTGGTTTCGCCACGCTTCGCGATCCGCTCGCATTTCCTCCTGAAGGGCTGCGATGCGCACGAAGAGCTGCTGGGTAACCTCGGCGTTGTCGAAGGTTGCCATCCTGTTCAAAACACGCACGGAGGGGGTAATTCGAAAATCGCGGAGCTGGTGCTTACCAGAATCGGCGTCGAATTGGTCGCCCCCGGCGGTTTTTCGAGGCAGGATCCCCGCTGCTGCTGCTTAGCTGAGCGCGGTCGAGTGAGAAAAGCTCTGATTACCAAGTGTCACAGGATCGAATGTGTCGAGGAAAGGTCCCACTATCGATCAGTACAAGGCGCTTTTATACTTCCACAGTACATCAGGTAACCAGGTTTATCTTATCCTAAGGGAATAGACCCTTCTAGAAGATAGAATCACCTTGCGTATAGCCACGCGAGGCTATTGGCTTTAAGGGATTGCAGCAAGATTACGCTAGATAGAGCGCACCAGTACATCCCAAGCCTGGTCGGTGATATAATTATAATAGCAGGATAAACCAAAGGTTGATGGAAAAGGAAGAATAGGAAACCAAATGAGATGCGGTAAAAAGAGAAATGGAAGGAAAAGGAAATAGGGAAAAGGCCAAGTGGTGTAACGGGGTCGTACTCTCACACATGGCCGCGGCAGAAGCCTGCGGCAGAAGCGATTGCTCTGCGCACATTGGCGACTGACGCGCGCTCTTCTACGGACGTATGGCATGCTCGTCTGGCCCATACTGGGGTCGAGACGATTCGGCGGACTGCGGCGCACGGAGCAGTTACGGGCTTGGACATCGAGAAGATGCCTAGCAGTGATCTGCCGTGTGTCTCTTGCGTTGGTGGCAAACTTGCTCGGCATAGCTTTCCGGCAGAAGGGAGTAACGAGAAGAAAGTGCTGGGAGTAGTGCACGTCGATCTCTGCGGGCCCTTCCGAGTTCCCGCTAAGGATGGCAGCCGCTACTTTCTTCTGCTCAAAGACCGCAATACACACTACGTCTGGGTGTACCCGATCGCGCAGAAGAGTGATGCATTGCTCGTCTTTCGGAAATTTCTTCCCAGAGCAGAACGACAATGTGAGGCGACTCTGAAGGCTCCGCGCTCCGATCGTGGAGGCGAATTTTTGGGCAGACATTTCGTAGAATTTCTCGAAGAGAGGGGAATTGAGCACGATCTTACGTGTCCCTACACGCTGCAGCAGAACGGGATGGCAGAACGCGAAATGGGGACAGTCGTCGAAGGCATGAGGACTATGCTTCTGCACATGGGTGCTCCTCACCATTGGTGGCATCTTGCTGCTCTGCAAGCGGTCTGGGTGTGGAACCGCCTTGAGCATTCTTCTCTGCCATCTGGCATCACGCCGTACGAGATGCTCTTCGGCGAAAAACCTGATCTGAGAATGGCTCGCGTCTGGGGGTGTATGCTGCAGTTTCTTATTCCGCAGAACAAGCGTGGAGGAAAGCTGGCACCTAAGGCCTGATGGGCTCTCCATCTGGGGGTGTCACAGCAGAGCAATGGATGGCTGGTGCTCGATCTGGCGACCAATCGATTGGTCACCACGGTGGAAGCGATCTTCTACAAGACGATGTCGCTAGACGGCTGGAGAGCCACGCGGCTGACTCCCACCGAGGTCGTTGACTCTTCTGTCTTTGACAAGGCGGTGTCTTGGTCGGATCTGGTCCCAGAAGAGGATGTGGAGGCAGAGGAGGATGTAGATGAGGAGGTCGTTCAAATTCTGCCATCTGTGCCGATTTCGACTCTTGGACCAACTCTGCCACCGACCGTGCCTTCTACTGTCGAAGGCACTCCGTCCTCTGTCGATCCTTCTGCGGATGCTTCTGCCGACTCTCCGACGGTCGAAGTGCCAGATGCACCCTCTGCCATACCCAGCTCCCCCTCTCCCTCTCGGCGTCATCCCCAGTGAACGACACACTGCAGAGTGGCAGAAGAATGTCGCTGACGACCCAACCGCAGAAGAGCAGTCGTCTTCTGTAGGGGAGTCGTCGTCCTCTGCCAAAGAGCACTCTGTAGACGAAACGCATGTAGAGGTGCAACCCCTCCGGCGATTGACGCGCTCCAACAAAGGTGTTCCGCCAGTTCGTTATTGTGCAGCGTTGACGGCATTCGCGATGAACGCCCTCGACGGCAGAAGCGAAGACGTAACACTGCCGGAGCTGGACTCTGCAGAAGATCATGCGGCAGATCCGTAACGTCGTTGGGACATTTCGAAGATGCCTGTCCCAGTCGCTCTGAAGAGTTGGAAAGGCCCTGCGGTTAAGGTAGCAATGGACAAGGAGATGCAGACTCTGTGAGACCAAGGCACTTGGGACTTGGTTTTTCCACCGTCTGGCGTCAATGTGATGGGAAATCGGTGGGTTCTTTCTACCAAGTATCTCCCTGATGATACGGTCGAGCGAGAGAAGGGACGTCTTGTCGTTCAAGGGTTTACACAGCTGCCCAATCTCGACCACGACTTGACATATGCTCCTGTCGGCAGCTACGTAACCGCTCTTCTGCAGCTGCTCATAGCTGCGGCATTTGATTGGGAGCTGATGCAACTCGATATGACGAACGCTTTTCTTAATGCACCCATCGACCGTCCTCTCTACACGAAGTAGCCGAAGTACTATGATGACAGCAGCGGCAAAGTCTGTCTGCTTAAGAAGAGCCTCTACGGACTTAAGCAGAGTCCAAAGCTGTGGTACAAAGAACTCGATGAAGTTCTGCAGAGCGGGGGCTGATCGAAGAGTCAGGTCGACAAAGCCTTCTACTTCCACGAAGATGAGCATGGCGACAAGTGCTACTTGCTCGTCTACGTCGACGATCTGCTGGCTGCAAGTCGGAGCAAGGCGCATTTGGCAGAGTTGAAGACTCTGCTCGAGAAGGCGTTCAAGCGGCTAGGAGCGGGCGCGACGGCCAGGGAGCCAGCTAGAGACGGGCGCAACGGCCAGGGGGCCGGCTAGGGACGAGTGCGACGGCCAGGGGCCGGCTAGAGACAGGCGCGAACGACCAGGGGGGCGGCTAGGGACGAGCGCGAACGGCCAGGGGGCCGGCTAGGGACGGGCGCGAACGGCCAGGGGGGCCGGCTAGGGACGAGCGCGACGGCCAGGGGGCCTGCTAGGAACGTAGGGGCGGAAGCGTGAGCGGGCTAGGGGGGGATCTAACCTACTATGATACCATATCAGAAAGAAAATAATTGAACTAGAATGTGTGTGTACAAGGATATATAGATCAGGGTGTTGTACCCTCTAAGGCACAATCCAGTATAGTCTACAATAACCTAAGTTACATTTGACACCTATATCCCGGGGATTACGGTATATAAGCCTTGTATCCCTTAGCTATAATCAATCAGTTATTCTCATATACTAGTACAAGGGTTCATTCAACTCAAGACTTCCGCTGTGCTATATCAAGCACTCTTTTACAAGGACTTAGCATTCTGAAAATATCCTAGGGCTATTGTCAGCCCAACACATTTCACACTCAATTGGTATGGTAGTTTGCAACTACTGCCTACAGGTTTCACTATCCTGTGAGGACATACGTAAAGACACTCTTCTCCTGCCCACCCTTTTCCCGTTGCTGGCTAGCTACTCTTCCCACTCTCGTGCGCCGCCGCTGTCCCTCCTGCTGTCCACCTTACCGTCGTCGCCGCCCCCCACGTGGGCCATGATCCAGTTGAGCCCCTCGCCCATGGTGCCTGGCATGTGGTCGCTGATGCACCACGGCGACACCACAATCTCACGCACCGCCTCCTGCTGCACCTCCACCACCTGCCACCGCATGCGCCTGCCTGCCACTTCGTCGTGCGATGGGAACACGCCAAACTGCCTCTGTGCATGCACGTCCTTGCGCGTGGTGGGGCGGTGGCCACAACCAGGGGGGTCGCAGCACAGCATCAGCAGACGGCCAGGGGGGTAAAGGGGAGGTGCAAACTCCTCTTGCTGCTGCTTCTCACGACCACTCTCTTGCTGTTCAGCCCCAACCGCCTCATTTTTACCCCCTCTTCCTTCACTGCCGCCACTCTCGAAGTTTCCTGCTCTTCCTGTAACCTCACTTCTCTCGCCGTTCCCTTCACCCCTCTCACTTTGTACCTCACAATTCTCCCCTCGCACTGAAACCTCCTTCCCGCCTTCCTCTGCCTTGTTCATACCCCCTTCCCCCCTCGCGCTACTGGACCCAACGGCCTCCTCGCCACCCTCCAAGTGTTCCGCCTCCACGCGCTGTCCCTCTCCCTGCCGTTCCTCCTCTTTCCCGCCGCTCCTGCCTTCCTCCCTTGCTTTCATGCCACCTCGTTCAGCCTCTTCTGCCCCATCCTCAAACCCAGCCTCTGCTCCCTGCCCATCCATTCCTTGCGCATCCCTTGGCTGCCCATCCCTCCCACTCATCATCCTGCCCATCTGCCCTTCATTGCCCTCCCCCTTCCCACAGTTTGCCCTCGCCCCCCCCACCAGTTCCACCACGCCCTGTGGGATGGCGTCCGCCACGATCCCCGGGACCCTCTCTGCCACCACGTGCTGCATCTCCTGCGCCTTGCTGCCCAGCCCAGCAGCCGCGCCAGTCACTGCCACCGCTGCTCCCTGCACCGCGGCTGCTGCTCCCATGGCCTGGCTCTGAACCGCTCCTGCCGCCCCCGCCGCAGCCCCCAGCAGAGCTGACTGCTGTACTGAGACTGCCACGCCCGCCGCTGACTGCTGCACCGCTGCTGCCGTTGACACAGCACTGCCCTGCACTGCGGCTGCCGCCTCCGCCGCTGTGCTCTGCAGGTCCTTGAGGCGCGCCAGCAGGTCGCGCGCTGCCTTGAGGCGCTGCCAGTCGTTGTCCTGCCACCCCAGCACCGCCTCCGCTCGGTCCCAGTCAAACGCACCGATCGCCTGCCGCAGCAGCTCCACACTCGCCAGGGAAAAGCTGCGCGGGGGAGGGACAGCTCCATGGGGCCACGCAGGCAGGGCGACAGATGGGTGGCAAGGAATGCGTAACATGCGACGCACACAGAGAAGGGAATAATGGCGAAAAGAGACCCGGGCATGGAGGCGTACTTGCTTGAGATGCACGTACCGAGGCACTAAGTCGTGGTGCACCAGCACACAGGTGACAAAGGAGGTGCAGTGCCGCGCCAAGTTCAATGTCATGCACGCAGGTGGACCATACCCCACACACTGCACCTCCACACCCTCCAACCCCCTGCCCGCCCCCACCACCGCCTCAGCTGCTGCCTCCTGCAGCTCCTCTGACTCCCCATCCTCCCACCCCGTCTCCTGCTGCCGCCCCTCTCGCCTCCGCCCCCTGCCACCTCGCCTGCCACCATGCATGGCAGCAGCATGGGAGTTCCTGTCACCGCCCACAGTGTGCGCGCGCACACTTGATGGTGGGCCATGGGCGGTGCCGTCGGGTGCTGGAGTGCACGGTTGCAGGCGCTGGTTCTCATGGCGCAGCATCATGCCCGCCAGGATCGCCACCGCGGCGCCCAGGCTGTGCCCCACAAACACAAGGCGTCGCACCGGCATGTCGTGCCACGCGCGCAGTGCATGCTCTATGTGCTCACGCGCCTCACTGCAGAGGCACAAGGAGAGGGGCGGCAGGGAGAGGGCCACACAAGAAAATGATGGCGTTTCAGCTTCGGGCACCAGTCATGGGCAAAGCGAGTCGCCAAGTGGACGTGCATTGACGTGCAAGCGAGCGACAGATTTATGAGGGGCACAAGAGTTGTGCACTCATTGAAGTCGGTACGCAGTGCATACTAGAGCAGGTGTGTGGCGGCATGCAGGAAGCCGCTGTGCACTTTGCCGCCCAGGAAGTCATGGGGAAAGGTGCCGGCGTTGACGAGCATGTCGGCGGTGTCGGAGGTGCCTCTGACAGCCACCACCACGGCGCCCAGCTGCGCGTCCACGCACACCACAAACGCTGGGCGCACACGCTGGTTGTGCGGATGCCACTGCGCGTGCACTATGGCCGACTCCGGCAGATTCGTCTGCACACGGGGGGTAGGGGGGGACACGACGGAGATTGCAAGAGCGCGCCAGGGGGAGATACAGGGCAGTGGACATCACAGCTGGTTCTTGGGTCGGGTCACTCTGGTGCTCCCAAACCACCTCAACGCTCTCACAGAATTTGCCCAAGCTTCTGAGCCATGTACTTGCAATCTGTGCGTTTACCTGTGATGTGTGGCTGTAAAGAGCAGTCGCTCCACCAAGGGCGCGAGGAAGGAGGATGAATGAAGAGGGAAGAGTGGGGGAGGCGATGGAGTAAGAGCTGGCGAGCATGGTGATCATGGCCATGCGTGCGAGGACAACGAGCATCATCGAGCGCGAGGAAGAGCACGGGGGCCCTTCAGAGTGCCATGCACTGCAGCATTCGTCCAAGTTTGGCACATCCTCGCCCACACAATATGTAAATCAGGCGGCGGGGGTGTGCTGTGCACTCGGTACGCTGTGCGGTGTCAGGTGAGCTGTGAGCGCTGACCTGCAGCGACCAGGCGGCGCTGTCCCCCGAGTACACGGCCTCGGCGTGCGCCCTCAGCCGCTGCACCTCCGCCAGGTACGCCACGCCCAGCGCCGCAGGCGCTACCACCCCCCCGGGCGGCGGCGGAGGGGGGCGCTTTGCCGTCACCTGCGAAGATGGGGGAAGCAGAGGAAGAGGGGAGCCAGCGGTAGCATGAGGGCGGGGGCTGAGGCGAATAAACGGAGGAGGTAGAGCGAGGAAGAGGGTGGGTGGGCATGGCAAGCGGTGGCGTGGCGGCGGTGCGGGCGGTGCGGAGTGGACCTTGGCCATGACGGCGAGGCCGAGGGTGAGGTCGGACACGGACCACGGGCCCAGGTTCGCCTGGATGCATGCCAGCCCGCGCGCCAGCATCTCCATCGGGCCTGGAGCCGCCACCGGCCCGTCCCCTCCGCCACCCTCCATGCCCGCGCCCTCTAGTGCCTCCGCAACTTGCCCTGCTGCTGCCCCCTCCCCCTGCTGCGCCCTCGTCCCCTGCTCTCGCTCCCCCCCTTCCTGCTGCCGCCCCGCCAATCTCTCGTCGCCGCTGTTCCGTGTGGCGATCCCTCGCCCGCCGCCGTCGCTGCCGCCAGTACCGCCAGTACCGCCAGCGGCATGCAGAGCGCGCGCAGGGGTTAGCCGCGCATGAGACGGCCGTGCTGCTCGCGCCCACTGCGGGCACAGTGGGGGAAGGGACGGGGCGACGCACAGGGAGCATTAGCGCGCTCCACGCGGATGACTGCGAAAGTCCATGCCGAACATTCGAAGGGCCCGTACTAAGTTTAAACACGTTCGAACATAGTATACGGACCAAACAATTTTCGGATGACGGCTACGAGGCCGCACGGACGGCACAAGTTCGCGCCGTACGCCCGTATGCGCTACACGCTACCTGCGCCACTCTCGGTGCGAACAGCACCAGCGCCGCAGCAGCACTGCCAGCGGCAACCACCGCGCGGGCCATGGCGGCCACTCCGCGCTCCTCGCTGCGCAGCTGCCTGCCACCGCGGAGAGCGCCCTGCGTCGACCCGGCCGTGAGCGCGTTCACCATTCGCCGGCGCGGCCGCCCCGTGCGTTGCTCAGCTCCTTTCCGCAGACTGCCGTGTCCCCCGCTGCCGCCATCAGCACGAGACGACGCCATGGCCGGTGCGTGCTTTGCATGGAAGGGCGGGAGCACGAAGGGTGTGTGGTGCGAAGCAGCAGGGAGTGCGTGGGTGGGGCGAGCCTGTGCCATTGCCAGCGAGAGGCGCGGAGAGACAGCGGCAGGACGAGCGCAGTGCGTGCGAGTGGAGGCGCATCGAGGCTGGAGAGCGAACCCAGCTGACGAGCCGCCATGGTGGGAGACAACGTTGCCACGCACAGGTGATGATTGACACGTGGAAACTCGGTGGCGTGGGTTTGAGGAACCCCACAAATAGGGGGGACTATCCAGTACCAATTCTAGTCTGTGCGACACTCAGCCAAGGGGCCTAAAAGGAGAATGAAGGGAAATTATATTGGCGCTCAGTATTAGGGGCCTCGATAACATGTACGGTCAGTGGCACGATATAAACAATCAGAATTAGCGAGTTCTCAACATGACTCATCAGTCGGATTCCACCGTTAGTCAGAAACTGCGGGAAAAAGTTATACGAATGGTCAGTAGAAGTAACCCCCGCCCGTCTCGAAACGTTTTCCCGCCCGCGCCAGCCCAATTTCGTCATCATTGTGGCTGACGCGATATTCTTCCCGAGCTCCAGGCGCAGTTCGAGCGAAACAATAAAAAATGCCCAAATTAAGATTCATTAGAAATTTGTTAGTCCAGAAACACGAAAACACGATTTTGTTTCGAAGCACAAGCTTTCGTCACAGAAAGTAGCGCATCCCGTGATATCTAAAATTGCCGGATTTTTCTCTACCACATTTATGTAAAAAAAAAAACTAAAGCCATAAACTTCTTATTCCCAGATCGTCCGAAAATAATAACATATATAGACAGCAACACGGGTTCATTTTGGGAAAATAAATATGTTTAATAGCACGTCAAGGTACTCTCATAATCGCGTTTAATTTTGTATTAATTTCAATACAACATACCTATTAGATTTCGGTTGGTTGTCTTTTGATTTTTTCAACAAATGCATTTACCGGAAAAACAATTTCCGCCGAATTTCGACTCCACGTGTCTTTTCATACTCGAAACAAATTAGCGCACGCGCACTACAGTTTAATGTTCACGCCTCATTGGCTAAGCGCCGATCCCTGATAGATTTTCCCTTTCGTGTCAAATGTTTTCATTTTTTATGCGAATGTTAATGTTTGAAAAATATCACACCCGATGTGTGGCCTGCTGTGACCCAATTAGCTTATGTGACATAAATGCGCACGGTCTCAATTTCGGAATTTTCTGTGTGCGACGTCCAACGCTTTTTAATTTGGGAATACTTTACGTAGTTCTCTCGTACTGCGCCTGGAGCTTGGGAAAATTATCGCGCCAGCCACAATGATGACAAAATTGGGCTGGCGCGAGCGGGAAAATGTTCCGAGACCGGCGGGGGTTATTTCTACTGACCATTTGTTATGAATTAATCAGAGTAATAACAGGTAGTGTAATAAAGGAGTCGTGATTCAAGAGTGTCGACACAAATGAGGGTCTAGGCATTTATAGGCACGAACAGAGCTAGCCGAGAACCACGCGAACAGGTTGGGGCGATTCGGTTGGCGAAAGCCACGGAAGCGCTGCGCGTCGAGGTTTGGGTTCGCAAAGTGGTTCGGGACCGAAGAAGTTGGCCGAGCCTGGACTTTCGACATTCGAGGGCGTACGCGATGTAGTCGGGCCCAGTAAGGAAAAGGGAATTTCCTTACACCTCCCCCCCTTCCGGGATGAGACTACCCACATCCGGGACATGTTGTCAGGGTGTCACCATGCGGATGATGCAGAATGGCCCACAAAATCTTGGTCAGAGTTTATTTGGGAGAGGAATCCCCAAATTTCGGTTGTCAAGCAAGACCAATTGCCCAGGGGCGAGTGTTAAGTCACGGCGTCGTCAGTCAGCTTGCTGCTTAGCCCGTTGGTCAACTTTGAGGACGGCATCGGCGACTTTTTGCTGAGACTGTCGGAGATTTTCGACGAACTGCTGCGACCTGGGTGCCGGATTTTCTATCGGTGGCGATAGAGGGGTTGTCGAGTCTATCCCGTAATTCAGGAAGAACGGGGACTGAGAAGTCATGGCTGATGGAGCGTTGTTGCACGCAAACTCGACCAATGGAAGGAAGTCTTCCCATTGGGCCGGGTCTGTGCATGTCGTGCGAATCAGTTGCTCCATTGTTTGATTGGTGCGCTCAGTTTGGCCGTCCGATTGCGGGTGGTATGCCGTGGACAGATGCAAACGTATGCCGTACTGCTGCCAGGTTTTTGTCCAAAAGTTGGACGTGAACCGAGGGTCGCAATCGCTGATGATTGCCGAAGGGATGCCGTGGAGCCGCACGATGTTCGTGAGGAACAGCTTCGCTGTCTGCTCGGCAGTGATTGTCGTCTTGCAGGTGGCGAAGTGGGCCATCTTGGTCAAACGGTCAACGACGACGAGAATCGTGTCGTTGCCGCTTGAACCAGCTGGCAGGCCAGTGACAAAATCCATTGTCACTTGTTGCCAGGGTCGGCTAGTTGGCTCGAGCGGTTGCAGTAATCCCGCAGGTTGAAGCCGTGATGACTTCATGCGTTGATTCGTGGCGCAGGAGGTGACTTACTGCTGCACGTCTGTCGGCAAGTCCGGCCAGTAATAATTACGGCTCAGTAATTTGGCAGTTTTGTCGATGCCGTAGTGACCCGAGAAATTCGAGTAATGTGCCTCCTGTATCAGTAGCTCGCGTAGGGAACGGTAGGCGGGAACCCAAATCCGATTGGTACCGGATTTTAGATAATAAGCCCCTTGCTTGACCGTCAGTTGGGGATGACTGTTAGTAGTGAAGAATGGATCGGTACTGTATCCGTGGGTAAATAGTCCAGTTAGCAGCGGATTAGCTTGGGTAATTAGGACGGCGGCGGTATGGACTGAAGGGCGGGTCAGTGCGTCGGCGATGTTGCTAGTCCCTCGTTTGTAGGTGACTCTGTAGTGGTGGAAATTTGACTCGAGATAATCGAGTCAGCGAATGTGTCGGGGATTGAGTGTCGGTTGGGCGCGGATGAACTGTAGCGATTTGTGGTCTGTTCGGACTGTCGAGTCAGCGCCCGTCAGGTAGCAGTGCCAGACCTTGAAAGTGTGAACGATGGCGAGTAACTCCTTGTCGTGGACAGGATAATTTCGCTTGGCCGGATTCAGCTTTCGCGACTCATAGGCGATGGGTTGAAGTCCTTCGCCGAAGTCTTGTAACAGTACTGCGCCAACAGCCAGGTTGCTAGCATCGATGATGAGCTTGAACGGACGGTGAGGATCTGCAATGCGAAGAATCGGAGGTGTTGTCAGGAAAAGTTCGAGCTGGTCGAACGCTGCCTGCTGCTCTCCCCCCCACTCATAAAACTTGCCTTTCTTCAGAAGATCTGTGAGAGGGGAAGTTCCCCCCGCCATGTTCGGAATGAACCGGCGAACGTAATTCACAAATCCCAGGAAACTTCGAAGTTCGCGGAGATTAGCTGGCGGCTTCCAGTCCTGTATGGTTGCGATATCGTCGAGGTACACAATGACACATTAATCTAGCAGCGGCCGAAAAACTTCGTTCATTGTTAACTGGAACGTCGAAGGCGCGTTTGTTAAGCCAAAAGGCATAACCGTGTACTCGTAACTCCTGTACCGGGTCCGGAACACAGTCTTGTAGCAGTCAGCTTCGTTCACTCAGATTTGATGGTAACCGCCTCGCAGGTCAATTTTTGAAAAGAACTTGGCCCCACGAAGTTGGTCGATGAGTTCGTCGGCACGTGGGATAGGAAAGCGGGACTTGATGGTAACCCGGTTCAAGGCGCGGTAGTCGATGCACATTCGGAGACCGCTGTCTTTCTTCGGTGTGAACAGGATCGGAGTTGCGAACGGTGAAGTGCTGGGGCGAACGAAACTTTTCTCGAGCAGGTAGTCCAGGTGTCGTCAAAGTTCATCCAACTCTGACTGAGTCAGCCTCCATTGAGTCCGAATAGTCGATTGCGCGCCAGGTTCCAACTCGATTTTGTGGTCGTGGGCTCGCTCAGGTGGCAAACCCGCCGGTAGGTCGTCTGGAAAAATGTTTGCGTGCCTGCGAATCAATGTTGCCAAGTCGTCGGGAACTGCTGCGCAGAGTTGGTCGATGTCGGCTGGTGATTCGACAGCTGTGGATGCGATCCATTGGATGGCGTACAGTTGCGCCCCGTGAATCATAGCTCGCTTGATGGTAACCGCGCTGACTGTCGATGTCCGCCCACGTAGCGATCAATTTTCTCGTCCTCGCTGATCCCTCCGATTTGGTCACAGATTGCCAGAAACGATGCCGTGTATTCTCGGACAGAGCCCAACTGTCTCCACATCCGAAGCTTTGTGCGAGCATTTTCGCGCATGGATATGTGCTCGAATCTGCCCTTCAACGCCTCGCCCCCCGCTTTCCATGTGCGGATCGTGGCCGATCCAAAGATTGGTTCCGCCTTTGCCATTGATGAACTTATCTTCGCAGCTGCCGCTCATTGATTCCCTGCCGGAGCTCCTCCCTCGTCAAGATGCATGCACCACTAGTCGAGTGCCGGTCTCCTCAGCAGCGACACGACCAAGTTGACACGTGAGGCATTGTCATTAAAACTTGCTGCCGTGAAGAAGATTTCCATGGCGAACAGCCACCCGCTCACTGTAGTTGTCGTGTCCGTCGGGTTGAACGGTGGGGGCATCGGAGGTTTGATTTGAATGGCCGCCCGCGGCTCGCTGTGGACTTCTTCAACTACTTCAGGTGTCGCCGACGCCCTCGCTTCGCTCGCAGCATCCTCGTCTCGGTAACAGGCCGCTCCTGACGTGTTCCACCTCGCACCTGGCGAAGCAACGAGTTTTCATTGCGAAGCGTCTGAACTTCGCTTCCCAGTGACTCAAACTTGTCCGCGAGTTGTTGAAGCTGAGCCTGCAGTGTCGTCACTGTAGCCGCCCTGGCTTGCAACTCGTCAAACTCCTCCTGAGTCATGTTCCTAACACTACGACGGGCAGAGGTTTCCGGCGTGCTAGTCATGCTGGAAATTTTACCTGACAGATCTGAGGGTGCACACACTTTTAGTTGGAGGAGCTTTAACGAGCTCGACTACCAACCGCTGGCCAACCATCTATTCTGTCGGGTCCTCTCCCGATATAATCGGACTACTCTACGGAAGACTAAGCGGGCAGGAACGGGACTCTGTAACCAGCTGTTATGAATTAATCAGAGTAATAACAGGTAGTGCAATAAAGGATTCGTGATTCAAGAGTGTCGATACAAATGAGGGTCTAGGCATTTATAGGCACGAACAGAGCTAGCCGAG